GGTACACATTTTGTTGACAAATAGTACCACAAATTTAAAATGCATGTGAAATGTATATGTATCACACTGGATTGCACTTAGGCACCCAACTAAAACAATCCCAAAGTAACCTAACCACATAAGGGTTCATGTTCCTTACAAAGCAATATGTTCTGCTATGGTGAATCTCAGTGCCACCAGTGACTTAGGTTCCTCCAGTGTTTGTTTTTACTCTACCGTCTTTACCATGTGCCAAGCTGCTGAATGACACTGTGCAAAGATATTTTCTATTTACTTCCACACGTCTGCTCTTAACCTGTTCAGCATCCTGAGGGGCTGACCTAAATGGATTATATCGGTTGAGCTTCCTAGCCCTCTGACATCCAATTGGGTTTGGCCAATGGGAGGCACTCCAACTAGAGACTGTGAACTTGGATTCATTTTGTATAGGTTGGCTGTATCCCAATATATATTCTCTCCCAGTTCTGGAAACCACTCTCCCCTTCCCTTCAGGGCTAGGGATAGGAGTCACTCCCTGCTATTACTAACCGCAGGCTCCTGCACCATCTCTCAACCATGGTTCCCTAATACTGGCTACATCTTTTCAATTTGTGCCTTTAAAAAAAAAAGTCTCTCCCATTACCCTGTGGGATGGAGCCATCTGTGTCCTTCCAGGACTCTGATTCTCCTGTGTTGTTAGTGTGCACCACCAGTGTAGCCATATGTAGCAGCATAGCCTGGGCCTTTTACTTGAAGAGATGCAAGGTCATTACTCCACCTCCAGGCGTCAAGGTTGGATTTCAGATGGGAAGCAAGGGCCAAAGACACCAAACAACTCTTTGCCAGGATACAATGGCTTTCTACTTACATGCCACTCCAGCTGCAGAACACCCAAGGAGAAGAGTATTTTCCAACTGGGCACATGGCTGCCTCCAAATGAAACAGGGTTTCTGTTAGAAGGGAAAAGGCAGAGGAAAGTTACTATGTAGGCCACCAGCAGTGTTTCTAACACTACCAGATACATTTAAACTTTTAATAAAGTTACAAGTAACTTACAGTTACAATTCTTTCCCCTCCTTCACACCTTGGGGTGTCTTTATTGAACAACAATAATAAAGTCAATGTAGCCATTATGGAAAACAGTATAGAGGTTCTCCCCCCAACAATTAAAAATAGTGACCAGGCACAGGGGCTCACACCTAAAATCCTAGCACTCTGGGAGGCCAAAGAGGGAGGATCACTTGAGGTCAGGAGTTCAAGACCAGTCTGAGCAAAGTGAGACCCTGTATCTACTAAAAATAGAAAAATTAGCCAGGTGTGGTGGCAGGGACCTTTAGTCCCAGCTACTCAGGAGACTGAGGCAGGAGGATTGCTTGAACCCAGGAGTCTGAGGTTGCTGTGGGGTAGGCTGATGCCATGGTATTAGCCTGGGCAAGAAAGTAAGACTCTGTTTCAAAAAAAAAAAAAATTAAAAATAGAACTGCGTGATCCAGCAACCTCACTTCTGAGTTTCTAGCTAATAGAAATGAAATCAGTATATCAAGAGATACCTACACCCCCATGTTCATTGCAGCATTATTAACAATAGCCAAGATACAGAAAGAACCTAAGTGTCCATTGATGGATGAAGATATTGTGGTACATATATACAATGGAATATAATTCAGCTATAAAAAAGGAAATTCTGTCATTTGCAACATTGTGGATGAAACTAGAGGGCATTCTGCTATGTGAAATAAGCCAGATACAGAAAGTCGAAAACTTTATGATCATCATCCTTAATCATCAGAGAAATGCAAATCAAAACTACTTTGAGATATCATCTAACACCAATAAGATTAGCCCATATCACAAAATCCCAAAATCACAGATGCTGGTGTGATTGTGGAGAAAAGGGAACACTTCTACACTGCTGGTGGGATTGCAAACTGAATGTTCCTTTTGGAAAGACATCTGGAGAACACTTAAAGAACTAAATATAGACCTGCCATTTGATTTTATAATTCCTCTATTAGGTATATATCCAGAAGACCAAAAATCACACTACAATAAAGATATTTGTATCAGAATGTTCATTGCATCCCAGTTCATAATTGTTAGGTCATGGAAGAAGCCCAAGAGCCCATTGATCATGAATGGATCAATAAATTGTTGTATATGTACACCATGGAATACTATGTAGCCATTAAGAAAGATGGAGACTTTACCTCCTTCATGTTTACATGGATGGAGCTGGAAAATATTCTTCTTAGCAAAGTATCTCAAGAATGGAAGAAAAAGTATCCAATGTATTCAGCCTACTATGAAACTAATTTATAGCTTTCATAGGAAAGCTATAACCCAATTTTAGCCCAGGAATATGGGGAAGGGGAGAAGGAGGGGAGGGGAGGGCAGAGGGTGGGTGGAGTGAGGGTGATTGGTGGGATCACGCCTATGGTTCATCCTATAAGGGTACATGTGAATCTCTCTAAATGTAGAATATAAATGTTTTAAAACAATAACTAATAAAAAGACATGAAGGCTATGTTAACCAGTTGGATGAAAGTATTTCAAATTGTATACAGAAACAGTACACTGTACCCCATGATAGTATTAATGTACACTGCTATGATTTAATTAAAAAAATATATAAACTTTATGATCTTACTTAAATGCAGAATTATAGAAAGTTTAACTCCTAGAAGCAGAGAGTAGATAGAATGGTGGTCACTAGACACAAAACCAGAGACAGAGACCTGTGGATCAGAATAGAGAACACAGAGATGAAACCATCCTCAGATTCCCATCCGATGTTTAACAAAGCAGTTAAAAACATACGATGAGGAAAAGAGTCCCTGTTCAATAAATGGTGCTGAGAAAACTGGACAGCCACATGTAAAAAACTGGAACAATATCCACACTGCTCACTGCTCACCAAAATTAACTCACAATGGATAAAAGACTTAAACCTAAGGCAGGAAACTGTAAGAATTCTAAAAGAAAATGTTGAGTAAACTCTTACAGATATTGACCTAGGGAAATCATTTATGAAGAAGACCCCCCAAAGCAATCACAGCAACAACAAAAATAAACAAATGGCAGCAGATCAAATTAAAAAGTTTCTGCACAGCCAAGGACACAATCAATAGAGTAAATGGACAACCTATAGAGTGGGAGAAAACATTTGCACACTATACATTCAATAAAGGGCTGATAACCAGAATTTACAAAGAACTCAAGCAAATCCCCAAGAACAAAATCAAATAACCCCATTAAAAAGGGGCAAAAGACATGAACAGAAACTTTACAAATGAAGAGAGTCTAACAGCCCACAAACACAGAAAAAAATGCTCACCTCTAATCTCTGATCATCGGGGAAATGCAAATCAAAACCACAATGAGATAACACCTAACTCCCATGAGAACGGCTTTTATCAGAAAGTCCCAAAACAAGTGCTGGCAGTGGATGTGGGGAGAAAGGAACGCTTACACACTGTTTGTGGGACTGCGAGCTAATACAACCCCTACGGAAAGTAGTATGGAGATACCTCAAAGAATGAAAAATAAACCCATCATTTGATCCTGCAATTCTACTACTAGGTACTTATCCACACATATTTCCTTAATTTGAGGGAATTTCATTTTAAATTAAGAATAGAGGTTAATAGTCCTAGTGAAATATCTCAAAAATGCTATAGGGAGACAGAGTCTTGCTCCGTCATCCATGCTAGAAGGCAGTGGCCTGTTCATATCTCACGGCAACCTCAAACTCCTGGGCTCAAGTGGTCTTCCCATCTCAGCCTCCTGGGACCACAGGCATCTGCCACCACACCCAGCCAAGAATCTACTTTTTAAATTCTAAATTATATGAAACCTAAATATAACTTAAGTGTTTCTGAAGAAATTTGGAAACCAGGTATATTGAGATGTGCTGCAAAGGTAAAATGCACACCAAATTTCAAAGACATAGTTAGAAAGGATGTAAAATATCTTGTTAAGGATGTTTTAATACTGATGCTTGTTGAAATGATAATATTATGTTAGATAAAGTAAATCACTAAAATACATTTTACTTCTTTGTATTTTTCTTAATGTGGCTACTAGAGATTGAAAATGGCAGTGTGTGTGTCAGGCAGAGTGGCTCACACCTGTAATCCCAGCAATCTGGGAGGCTTGAGGCGAATGCTTGAGCTCACCAGTAGAAGACCAGCCTGAGCAAGAGCGAGACCTGGTCTCTAAAAATAGCTGCACGTTGTATGTGTGTATGGGGAGACCTATAATCACAACTCACTTGAGCTCAAAAGTTTGAGGTTGCTGTGAGCAATAACGCCAAGGCACTCTACCCAGGACAAAGAAGGGATACTCTGTCTCAAAAAAAAATAGTAATAATAATAAAGGAAGGGAGGAAGGGAGGGAGGAAGAGAGAGAGAAGGAAGGGAGGGAGGGAGGGAGGAAGAGAGAGAGAGAGAGAAGGAAGGAAGGAAGGAAGGAAGACGGAAAGAAAGAAAGAAGGAAGGAAGGAAGAAAAAGAGGGAGAGAGGGAGAAAACTGTGGTTTGCATTATTTGTTGGAAAGCGGCACTTTAGAAGGGAACACTGGGGTGGGGGAATTCTTGTTTTACAGAAACTAAGAAGAGGGGCCATTGTAGAAATAAATTCCAGATCCCAGGGAAAGTGTTGGCACCTCTTCCCGGATTTCTGAGACTCGGTGGCAGAAACACACATTTCTGTCTACACAGAAACACACAGCCTCTTGAAACTTGTGTCATTATCATTATCTTAGCAGAGTGAGACCGTGGTTGTTTATCTGGGTTTTGATTCGAGGGCAACAGCATTTTAACGACTAAGAGATTTCAGAACCTAGTGACCAGGAGATTCTCAAACTCTGTCTGAACTTCACTTTTCACTTCTGTTCTCTCCAAGTTTACCTTAGACCTAACATTTCACCCTCTAAGCCTGTGTTCTCTGGTTTTTGAATCCTTTCCTCCAGAACAGCCTTGTTTTCGAAATGCTTTGTACGCAGACGGCTGGCCGAGGCAGCGGGAGGAATTTGGGCAGATCCGAGCGCGCCAGCCGCCTCGCACATCTGGAAATGGTTTCAGGGCCCGCCCCCGGCGGCCAGCGCCACGCCCGATTCCCAGCTGCTTCCCGCGGCGCTGGAGGAAAACCCAGCCGCCCCAACGTCAACGCTAGCAAAGAGGGGCGGAGGTGGGGGAGGAATATTCTTTCGGACACGTAATATTGGCCCTGGGGCTCTCCAGCCCTTTGGGACTTCCAATGGGATCTTAGAAAACAGCCGAAGCAGCGGGAGGGCCGCAGCCCAGGGCCAGCCAGGATTTTGAACGCTCTGCCCTGCAGCTCTTCTGGACCCAGCAGCCCAAAGCCCTGCCCTGACCCTTCACCAGGTAAATAGAGAAAGAAATTTACCGAGCATCATGCGGTCTTTCCATCTGCCCCTGGCCCGTCTGCAAAAATCCTTTATTTTGCTACAGACCAAGAAAGTAAATCAGAGGTGTCAGACGGTCTCGGGCAAACTTTGCCTTCAGAAGCTTCCAGTCCCTGCTTGTAGCGTTCCAGCGGAACCCTTCCTTGCCATCTGCAAGGAATCCAGGATGCAAGGTTTTCATATCCTGGACTGTTTTTCCAGACCTGAGTTTATTCCCTCTTCTCCTCCCGACATAAGGGAGTTTACTGTTTACATCAGATTCTAAGCATAGAAATCAGCAGTTAAGTAGGATGTGGGTAAATGCAAGCATTTCATGTAGGTAAGTTCTGAGCCACAAATGATTTAATTGAGCTGTGATTCATGTTTTCAGAATCTGTCCTAGGAAGCTGTTCAAAGGGTCACCATACACCGCTCACCTCCACCCACTCCCCCAGAGAACTGGCAGTTGTGGAAATCTATGTGAGGCGTATTGTAAATACGGTAGCCATAGTCCTTGAGTTGAAAAATGCTTTTTAACCTTCAAAAAAAAAAAAAAGTCCTATGTTCACTCTATGAGCTAAGTGTAATACACTGGCTAAGTTTGATATAGCTCAATATATAAATTAATGACATAAATTAAGAAGGGATAGTTAACGCGAGAGTACAAAAGGAGAGAGAAAACACCATGATGTCAGAACATCTGGATGTGCTGTGGGAAAAATCAGTCCCCCAGTTCTTTGGCCCTGTGCAGCTAATATCCAAAGTGATGTTGGTTGGTTGGTTGGTTGGTCTTTGTCTTTTCTTTTTTCCCTAAATGTGTTGGTGATGTACTTCTGTACAATAAATATCCTTTTGGTATTACATAATGGAATCCCAGTTCTCCTTCAAATGCAGCTAGAAGTAGAGCTGTGCCATGTAGTAGTGACACCATGGGCTTGGGGTTAGGTTCATGGGATTGAATCTATGTGCTCCGCTGGCAAGTTTTATAGGCTAGATTCTGGGTGACTTGCTTAACTTGCACCAGTCTCTATTTTCTCATCTGTAAAATGGGAATTACATGTCTATCAAGGACACAATACAGGGTTTGCCAAGGAGCGAGACCTCGGGGAAGTTAGTTCCTCTGATGGTGCTGGCGATGGCAGTGGTAATGACAAAAGTGACCATATGTCCTACATTTGGCCACACCCCTGCTTTTGATTCATTTGTCCTTCCGACAGCCTGGTCATTCAAGTATTCCTCATACCCTTACATGTCATCTCTCTTGGGTCCTGCTTTCTTCCCTCCTCTTTCTAAATATTTCTCTTTTATTTTTTCCACTCTATTTCTCCTTATTTCTTTGTTTTTGCCTCTTTCCTTGCTAAGACAAAGACATGTTCATTTAACCACAGCCCTCATAATTTTTAGTGCTAGTTCCCAAGAAACATTCTTCTAAATGCTTCTTTTATTTCAACATTTTTCCGGAGAATATTCTGAAGAACACAGTCCCCTGGGAAAAATATGTTCTGTGAACCCCCCATTAAAGATCTCAAGGCATAACAGCGTTTTAAAGGTCCTGAGATGTCTCACAACAGAGCACAACTCCTAAGGACGCTTAACACAGGGGGCTTCACACAGTGGATCTCTGAACCATTTTATTACATCATGTCAATTAACATTTCTTGGAGCACACTCCCAGATGTCCTGTTCTGACCACATTTGTTTTCATTTAGGCTTCTCTTAAGTCCTGGACATTCTACCTCACGCCTCCCCTGGAGAACGTCCAAAGAGATACTTTGTTCTTTCTTTCTTTCTTTCTTTTTTTTTTTAGGATACATTAAAATTTGGTTTAACACTTCTTTGGGGGAAAAAAAAAAATCACACTTTTAGTGAATGAACAAGAAACATTTTTACAGTAGCAGTAGACTATTATTTTCAAATACCATGCCATGAATTCATAGGGAAGAGGTTCCAGTAGCTCAGGGAGGCACCTTGCCATTGAATGTGACAAAGCGTTGATTCACTTTTGAATTCATGGGCAATAAGTTCCAGCACCTTGTATCACTGTTACATGGGGTCTATTGGTTATCCAGTGTAATATGCTGTACACCTATTATGCCATGAGCTCATGGGGAACAAATAGGTTCTTGCACCTAAAAGCATGGGTCCACTGGTACTCCTTTATGCTGTGTTATATGCTTATTATGCCATGAATTCATAGGGAATGGGTTCCAGGAGCTCAGGCTCCTTTCCGTTGGTTCTCACAAAGTGGGCTTCTCTGGGTGGAGCAGGCTGGCGCTTCAGTTGAACCCAGGTACCTTTCTCTTTGGCTTCCTTCTTTTTCTGATCATTTTCCTTCCCACATTTCAGGAAGCTATCTCAGCTCTTAGAAAGCTTAACGTGCTCAATATGAACATTAATCCTCTTGGCAAGAATCTTGCCCTTAACTTGTTTGTTTACAGCATTGCCAATAGCATGCTGGGTAACATTGTAGACTCTTCCAGTTTTGCCACGGTAACATTTGTGTGGCCTGCCTTTTTGAACAATACCCATTCCCTTGATGTCTATGATATCACCTTTCTTGTAGATTCGCATATATGTGGCCATAGGAACAACTCTATGTTTTCTAAAAGGCCTAGAGAACATGTATCAGGTGCCTCTCCTCTTTCCCCTTGTGTTTGTCATTTTGGTGAATTACTGGAAGATGGCGTCTCCGGCCGAAAGGCTGTTCTTTCTTTCTTAGTTACGGCTATAAGATTAATCATGTGTGCCATATTGATATATAGAAAATGTGGAGGTCAGGAGTCAGCAAACTTTTTCCATAATGGGCCAAATAGCAGGCCATGTGATTGCTGTTGCAACTATTCAGCTATGCTGGTGGAGCATAAAATAGCCACAGACAAAACCAAAAAATACGCATGGCTGTTTTCCAACAAAACTTTATTTACAAAACTTGGCGAAAGGCAACGTTTGACCCAAGGGCTGTTCCTGACCCCTGGTCTAGAGCCTGTTTGTGAAAGAATGCCCCAGTCCAGCAGAGGATAAAACAAAACAGGATTTTTACATACTGAAGACTCCCTTGTCTTGCCTCCCTATTGTTATGGTCTGAATATTTGTGTCCCCCAAATACTTGTATTGAAATTTGAAATTCATCCCCCAAGGTGATGGTATTAGGAAGTGGGACTTTGGGGGCGGTGATTTGGGAACACAAGAGCAGTGCTATCACTAATAGGATTAGGGCCCTGATAAAACAGGTCCAAGAGGGCTTGTTCTGCCTTTCTATCATGTGATAACATAGCTAGAAGGTACCATTGATGAACCATAAGGGGGTCCTCACCAGGCATGGAATTTGCCAGCACCTTGATCTTGGCCTTCCCAGTTTCCAGACCTGTGAGAAACAAAAGCTTGTTGTTGAGAGGCCACTCAGTGAATGGTATTTGTTGTAGCTGCTTGAAGGGAGTGAGACACCTGTCCTGTGGATTTTGGTGGATTTTGAGTAAACTTTTCATGATACTATGTGTGGCAGAGAGTAAAAAGGCAAGAGATGTTTTAGTAGAGGTCAAAGTCTCGAGTCCTGATTTTGTCCTTTCTCTTTTCTTCAGGCGAATAGCCCCTGTTCTTGTCCTGTTCATGACTCTCTACCTCACATGGTATAAGATGAAGTGCCCTATTATTAAATGTGTTTTTTATGCATGTCAGGTGCAAGTCTTACGGAGTGAAGTTAAATCACGGAGGTGATCAGGTGCAAGTCTTATGGAGTGAAGTTAAATCATGGAGGTGAGCAGGTGCAAGTCTTACGGAGTGAAGTTAAATCACGGAGGTGATCAGGTGCAAGTCTTACGGAGTGAAGTTAAATCACAGAGCTTAGGTCAGTTGCTTAACACATAGGGATAGTAGTCACAGCAATGTGGTTGGGTCTAGTAGCTATTAAGGTGGTTAAGACACATGTACTGAGAACTTACTGCCTGGGTTTGAGTCTTGGCTTTGCCACTGATTAATTGTGTGGCTGTTGGCAGGTCTCTTAAGCTTGCTAAGCCTCAGTTTCCTTGTCAGTGTATTGGGGATAGTCAGCTCCTAGGGTTGTTGTGATAATCAAATGAATGACTGTTTATGAGCCTTCGAACAATGCCTGATACCTGGAATTGCTACGTGAGTGTTATAATAATTGTAGGCGAGACTTGCATAGCATTTTTTTCGTAGTCTGCAGAATGATTCCAGTTTACAGATGGGGTTCTGTAAGCTTCTCAAAATTATACAACTAATAAACTGGGCAGGATTCAAAGTCAGCTCTAATGACAAAGCCTGTGGTATTTCCACTAAGGTACACAGCCTCTCATATTTAAGTCATTCAACAGTACATTTAGGATTTTCTCTTTTATCTTCTGTTGATTCCTGGGTCCTTTCCAATTACTTCATACCTTCACCCCTGGCAGACATGATTACTCAATCATAGCACTCGTTTTTTCTTCCTCCCTCCCTCCCTCCCCCCTTCCTTCTTTCCTCTATTTCCTTTTCCTTTCCTTTCCTTTGCTTTCTTTTCTTCCTTTCTTCGTTCTTTTTAACTGAGCTTGGTTATAGCTTTAGCTTTTATTCCTCAATTTAGCAATCCCCAAAGCCCCTACCAAAGGTCAGAGCTGACACGTAAAATGAAACTTAGAAGCGCTGATTTTTTGGAGTATTTTTCTGAAGAGATCTTTTCATTTTCTACCCTTTCTTCAAAGGCAGAGCTGATCCCCTGAGTCACTGCCAGGTCTCAAAACATTCTTTCCAGGTTTGGCCACAGGCCCAAACTCTTTGGCATCTGTTAAAAACAGCTGCCCATGCAAAGGTCTTCAAGGGCATGTTTTAAAACTTAACCGGTCTCTTCCCAGGTCCAGACTGACTCTCTGAACTCAGCTTTTCTTCCTAGTTGCAGGCCTACAACCTCAGCCTTTTTCCCTCCCTCTCTGAAGCTGCCTGTCCAGCTTATTGTCCCAGAAGTTCCTCTTCTCCCACTGGCCTGCA